CCTATTTGCGGGGATGATTCAATGAATTTCTGGCACAAATGTAGGCGATGGGGTTTCTCACGACATAGAGAACACGATTTTCTAACTGAAGGGGGAGACAAACGTTTCGATAGGGGCTTACAAGCTGTATTTAGCGAATTAGATCTTTCAAAGCAGTGAATGTTTTCTCGTAGCTTTCCAAACACACGAGCTTGTTTATCTTTGCGAAAGAAAGCTGTCTAAATCTTTCTACGAGGAAAGACCCGATTTGTTTTTAACACTTTCTTCCCATAAATCCTGAGTAGTTCTAGGTAAACGTTGTTGACAAATGAAAACGAGAATCGGGTCCCATTGATCCGTTGGGACATTTTAAGTCAACATTGACGATATGACGCGTCGAATCTCTTTCAAACCGGATATAGTTTCTATATTGAGAATGGAAATGTTAAGTAACAAGGACAGTTGACGATTTACAAAAATCCGAGTATTTTCGAATTCTGTGTGGAGTGCTTTCCAAGATAGAGAGAAACCACAGTTGGTTGGAGGAAATTGCAAAACTATTTCCCGACTTCTCCCGATGATTTATGTCGCAAATAGAACAAATGTTCAACATCAGACAACTTGGAATTATTTATAAATATGCCGCTTAATTGGAAAATGTTAAAAAACAACAAGAATAAAATACACAATAGTGTTTTTTTAAATATTGTAAGGGGAGAAATCTCCAGATTTGGAAAAATTACCCTTTATTATATTTTTATTAATTTTATTATTTATGCTGAGACGGAATAAGTCAAACTATGACAGTATTCGTCTGCAGGATGCTTGCTGTTGTAGCCTTAAGGCTTCCAAAGTCTAGCATATATTTTATTTTATTTGGTTTTTCCAAAATAAAACACTTTGTTTTCAATTCAAACCTTTATTATTCGCAGCTCGATCGCAATAGAACGATGCAACATACGAGGAATAATTCTGTTTTAAGAGTAAAAAGATGTCGTTTGGAATTAACGAAACAAAAAATTCAGCATAATGGATGTTTATTTTTTAACCACCTGCCCAATAATATAAAAAATATAACAAGAATTTCATTATTTAAAAAAGAGATAAAGTCATTTTTATTAAGTAATATTGAAATGCTTCTAACGTAATTTTTTTTTTAACGTAATTCATTTTTTTATGTTATTTAATTTTTTTATCAATATTTTTTTTTCATATGATAAAACACGTATTTTGATTTATATTGTAAACCAATTCGCCTCAATAAGGTCTTGAAGACGCTGAGGCAAAACATACATATTGTAATAATATATATTTGAAATAATAAATACAAAACAAAAAAAAAAAAAAAAACATCATTTCTGTGACCAGCTAACCATTAGTCAAATCCATTACATCGTCTAGAACTTAACTTAAAATTGTAGCATTGAGAGCATAATTTGCATAAAAAACATGAGAGTCATTTGAGTATATGTGGGTGAGCGTAAAATTAAATATTGATATCAATTGAGAAAGAAATATTGATTTTCGTTAAAAATATTAATAAATGAGAGCAATTACAACAACAACAAGTTGCCCTTCTTCGTTAAGCGATAGAAGAAGCATAACTATCGTGTTAGTGCTGTTTACTGGCTAACATAGCTTTCTTTACAGGATGTAACCTAACAGTCTAGTTAACATAATAATGAATTTAGCATAAATATCGATTGTAATATTAGTGTTATAATGTAATATAAATAATGTGTTGTTGTTGAAATAGACTGCTACAATATTAATATTGCAACACCCTAATACAAACTAATGTACCGAACCAAATTTGCCGACCAAGGTAGTGTAGCTAATCAATCTAAACGGACACAATAGAAAGAGGAATAAACAAAAGGTATACCTCCCATGTAATTAACCAAGGTAAGCTAGGTACTCGACCTAAGCGGACATAACAGAAAGAAGAATAACAAACATATTTTTCATTCGTTTGTTATGTTAGTTCACTGATCTAACAAAACACAAACAACAAGTGCTGATCAGAAAACAACAACAAATCTAGTAGTAATGTAGGTGGACGTCAAATAGTGTTGTTGTTGCTAGCAACTAACAAACAATAAATCGTTCTGTTGTTACAGCAAGAAAAGGAATAAATGCAACAACAATATGCAATATTATTAGTCACAAACAAACGAAACAATATTGCAGTTTTTGCTTTTATGCAGTAAAGCAAAATGAGAAAAGTATTTTTTCAACAACAACAATGTTTTGAGGGAGTACCAAAGGAACGAAATATTTACTGTTTTGTTGTTTTACAAAAACACAAACAAACAGAAGAAAAGCGACGATTTTGGCGACAATGGAATTTTCGTTTTTTGTTTTGATTGTGAATGCAAGCATATAAATTACAAGCCACGATTGGCGGGAAACAAAGGAAAGTGGTGACAAAACGACCTTTGAACAAAACCGTAGGAGAGGGGGTGTAGTTAGACCGTGAAATAAGAGAAGGAGATAAAACACAATTGTTTTCGTAATAAGTATTCAATAGTTTATTGTTGGTTGAGTAGATGGTAAACATTATTACCTTTTGGCAACGATATGCCTGCGCGCAACAATATGCGTGATGTCCGTCCGAATGACAGTATGGTACTTCTTGATGCTTAAAGGAGAGGCGGTAAAAAAGTGACAAATAATTATTAGTTAAAACGTCAAAAGCGCTAACCCAAGGTTGCAACAAACCATAGCGCATACATTTTAACTAATAATTGAAGATTACAACAGTGGTCAATAAAAAGTATTATTTATATACAAATCTAAATTAAACACCCTCCATACTATGGTAGAGGGTATAAAAATGGACGATTTCGCTCGTACAGTATTTTTCGGTTAATTGCACATCAAAATTTGCACAAATTTTCGTTCAATTAACCGAGGAACCAATTATCCGAACCCGCTTAATTGAATAGTTTGTTCAATTACAGTAATCACGTATAATTGGAACTACTAATGATTTAAAAAAATCCAATGTCAAATACAAATTTCATTAGCAATAAACATATGTTTTGAATTAGTAGAGATGGCACCTAGTCTTTTTCACAAATTATGTCAAATATGTATGTAAAAAAATGGCAGATTATTTTTCAATTTTTATTATGCAATTAACCGGTGAAAAGTAAAAGGAAATTTATTTTTGATGTCATGACTTTTGAACCAATTAAGCGGGAAAATCAATTAACAGGGTTTAATTATCCGAGAAAATTGACATGTATTTTCCTATGAAATATTTCTTGCCCCCATCATATGGTTCAATTAAGCGTGGAAACCAATTAACCGTAGGGTCAAATTAACCGAAAAATACTGTATACATTTGCTGTTATTGACTTTGATGTGTAGGGATCTACTTTTCAAGCACTATTGTTAATATTTGTTCAGATTCCTCCAATTCGACTAAAGACAAGACAAAGCCGGATTTTAACTTTAAGTTTGGAGACTTAAACTTAAATTCTAACTTTAAATGTATGAAATAAAATACCTAATATTTATATCAACTCGATATAGACAATAATTATTGTTAAACAGAAGCAATTGCAATAATTGCAATTGTAGTGAAAAGTGTTCACCGGTATTATTTGCAACTTAATAACGGTTAAAAGTCAAGCTTCTCATGGAATATCAAGTTAAATATAGCATTAGAATTTTGTATACACATTACGCGTGAGTTTGCTTATTTCGATAGCCATAGTGAGTATTTGAGATCATGGGAAGCCACACAACGACAGCCGAGAGAAAATTAGTTCTTCACCATGCTGAACTAATTATATTGAGGCACAAAACCCAGAATCGAATTTGCAACAAGCCGAAAACCAGTGAGAAAAATATATTTAATAAAAGTGACAAAATGTGATTGCTTCGACAAGTGGCCGATAATCCAAAGCTAAGTGCAACTAAACTGAAATCACAGAAAAATATCTGGAATATCAGAAACAATTCGAAGAATTTTGCGTTTGCAGAGTTGCACTAATAATTTCATTCATATTCCCCAAAAATCGGAAAATCAGATTGGTGTTCGTTCAGGAACACGAAAAAATGATTTTGCATTTTGGAAATCTGTTATTTTTGCTGATGAAAGCAACTTTAACTTGTTTGGGACGGATGAACCAAATAAGGTATGGCGGGGACAGTGATCCGGCTCGAAGGACCACTGTTTGAGAAGTGTTGGGTTTAGATGTTAATTCGGTTCTGATTTTATTGTAAATGTAAATTGACTTAAGAGCTAGACCGTCATAGAAATCTTAGGCTATCGTATTCTATGCGCTTATCATTAGAAATGCTTGTTTGTCCCTTGCTGAGTGCACTATCAATTGGGCATTGCCTTTATTATTCATGCACCCCAGCATCGCACACAAGCATTATCACTTACACGCACTATATATTTTTATGATAGGCACTTAAGTATTTTATGATCTACATTGTAAATTATGTTAATATTTTTATGAACATGTGGAGAAAAGGAGATATCTATGGGAAGAGTTACAATTTTAACAAAATAGAGATCCTAAGCATACTTCGAAAATTGTTAGAAATTGGTTGTCTAACAAAAATTGTTATTGCTCAAATGGCCAGCACAAACGTACCTTAATCCTATGAATAAACACAAATGAAATGGTAAAGTATTAAAAGTGTAAAAAAGAGAGATTGTTGATAAAATATTCAAAATCACATAATATTTTGATTTTTTTGTTATAAGTGCAAAAGTGTAGGAATTGCGTTCTACTTAACTTCAATTATTTTCTTAAAGTAATGCCCATATTTTTTTATTTTTCATAAAAAATTTAATATAATAAATAAGTAACCAAGCCTGAAACATTTACATTGGGATCTTAATAATTAACGATTTTGTATGTTTTGAAGGAGGAATTTTCCAATATTCGTACACTTTTGCTTATATATATATATATCATATTGTGATATGTTTTACTTGCTAAATAATAAATTCGTATTTCTGATATGTACAAACGTTTCTATTGTCATTATTCCAGGATGTTGCTTTCATTAATCCTGCAAATGTTGTTTTCGTATATATGCTGGTTAGGGAATTAGTCAACGGAGAAGAGACAAAGGAATCGGATTTACAAGCTGCCGTTCTTACCTGTCTATATTTATCATATTCCTATATGGGAAACGAAATTAGTTATCCCCTAAAACCATTTCTTGTAGAAGACTCGAAAGATAAATTTTGGGACAGGTAAGAAAACAATATTTATTTGTTGCATCGTATATATAATTTACATCTAATTTGACCTTTAACTTTGGAGGTGAGGTAAATTTTACCCCATCGCTTATTTACATTTATCTTTATTTCCAATGTCTGTGAAATAAAGGCCCAAATTGTATATAAATAAGGTATGTGTATATATTTGAGTTTATTTGATTAATAAAACAAGTAAATTCTATAAGAAATTATTTGAGAAAATGTATAAGGAAAAATTTTGTGAAAATTTTCACCTCCCAAGCTAAAGGTTAATAATGATGCTGTAGTTTTCGAAATATGTAGTTTGCTTTTAATAAAATTATAATACATTTGTGTTTACTCAAGAAACAGTCCTGTTTCTGATTTTTTCAGTTTTGCATGTTAGAGCGCATTTAGACTACTAAACCCAATCGATTTAAAATTCAATTCATCTAATCATGTTCACAAATCCAGTGGATTATGAATGACATATACACTATGGAATTGATATTTGAGATCGAGTGGATTTCGTAAATGTAATCGCTTTTATTGCGATGATCATTTTCATGATTTTTAAGCCAGTTTTATTTCTTTCGAGTCGAGCTTAATGATCGAATATTTGTAATGAAAAGGAAAGCTAGGGGAAGAAAAACCTCGATCATTAAGGTCGACTCGAAAGAAATGAAACTGCCTTAAACATTATTCAAATCATCTCAATCATACAAATATTGAGAGTTTGGTACCCCAATTAGCATATATCGGCCGAAAATATATATGGCAGATATATTAAAATCATAGCCGATTTTAACAAAACCTAACACTCCATTACTTCAATTTTGTCTTTGGAGCACCATTTTCATAAAATCAGATTAAGATATATTAGGGAGCTATATCTAAATCTGAGCCGATTTCAACAAGACTTAACATGTGTTATTCTAGACTAAATAGGTAAGCTTTGTAAAATTTCAATCAAATCGGAAAAACTTTGGAGGATTGAACACCCATTTACATAAAATCGGAGGAAAATATAAATGGAAGCTATATAATATCTGAACCGATTTCCACGACACTTGAAGCACTACGTTCTGTACTCAATACGACACGCTATGGAAAAATTCGTCATAATCGGACAAATCTTTTGATCTTGGTGAGGCATTTATATCAAATCGGACGAAAATATATAGCGGGGCTATATACAAATCTCTTCCACGGGAACCTGCAACTATTTAACGAAGGTGAGTTGAATAACGCTATGAAGTCCAATATCTGACTTTGTGATAATGGCTCGATTCAAGAGCAATGTAAGATGCGTCACCGTAGTACAGTGCCATACTTAATGAAATTCGCAGAGAAGATATAATAATTCCCATTTAGAACAGAAAATAGCACGGTATAAGATGGAATTCTTATTATAAGCGAAATGAGATGGTATAAAAGCGATAAATTTCCCACAGAAAACGTCAACTTTGTATAGTGGAAAAAGAGAATTGAATTGAAGTAGGAATATACTGAAGATGCTAACGACACTGTGAATTATTATTTCTACGCACAATAAACATACATTCTTAATGAAATTCGGAGAGAAGATATAATAATTCCCATTTAGAACAGAAAATAGCACCGTATAAGATGGAATTATTATTATAAGCGAAATGAGATGGTATAAAAACGATAAACTTCCCACAGAAAACGTCAACTTTGTACAGTGGAAAAAGAGAATTGAATTGAAGTAGTTGGAGACATATAAACTATTATATGACGGTGTGATAAAGGAATAATTCAAAGTAATGTAAGACACGTCTCTGTAGTGCTTTGCGCCAACGGAATATACTGAAGACTCAGTAAAATATTATTGATAGTGAATTCATAGAGTAAGTAAAATTAATAAACAAGACCAAACAAGGAGAAAGCATGAATGTAGATAAGAAAACAATAATGGTAAGGGACATATAGGAGCCAGGCAATCAAAGATCGCAATGGTATGCTCAAATTCAAAGATGGATATTGAAGGACTCCATATCATAAATTCTTCGATTTTTTTTCAAACATTTGTATTTAAAATGGTTTTTGTAGAAGTTACACATAGCTTCTGAAGACAATATTCCCAAAAAAATCTAACCGAGGATCAGTGGTGAGTTGCAAAACTATAATCTTCACTGCCTTACACCTTGGTTGACAATTCCATACGCCTGACTATTTTGCAATAACAAATGGTAAAAATGGTATCCTAAACACATCACCAAGATGCAGAGGAAATCATCCTAAACCTAAATCCTTTTTAAAGGGAGCATAAGATGCATCTGAACAAATGCAAAACAATTGAGAAAAGACAAAAGGAAATTACTAGAAAATTTGATAAACGCAGCCAGCCTGAGAAAGCTACAACGAAACTCATAGAAGGGGAACTAGCAAAAAAAGATCGCAATGGTGCGCTACTTACTAACATACGATGAAACATCAAAAATGGAGAGAACATTACGAAGATACCGAATTATACAATAGCAGTCCAACGGAAAATGCGCAAAATATATGGAGTAACACTCCAGTTTAAACGAAATAAAAGCGTAAACAGTACAGCTGCAAACGGTGAACAAATATAATAATGAATGAAGTCTGCTCTCAGAGAAGAGGCATAATTTGAAGTCTTTCATGACAACTAGAACAGTGTTGCTCAGCGCTTTACATCTTCGTAAACACAAACTACATGTATTCTCTCTCAATTTAGATTTGCCATTGTTTTGCATAGGCGGGAGAGTATGTTACAAATACCAATTCAAGTAATATGAGCATCACTGAACCAGAGGACTTAAACTATGCGGATGATACATTTCTTCTCTCTAACAAGTTACCCAACATGCTGTCAAAATTGAGTTACTGGCTCGAGAATAATATCTATTGAATACATAGTACCAACAAATAAACTAAATATAGCGAGAGACGCATTTGGACAACTGCAATATACATATATGGAGAAGCTCACTTATACCCAGCAAAATCAATAAAAATAATCGAAGCATGTGCAAAATTGTTTCTGCTATATGACTGTGAAACCTGGATTGTGTCTAACATTACCACACAAAAGAAATGATTTATAATGAGTGCCACAAGATCATATGAAGAAGATTCTGGAAACTATTCTGTATTTATATTTGTTGAATTAATTACTATATTTAAACTTTTGGTCAATATAATAAATAGTGTAATATTAAGATTTGTTTTCTTATTTCGAAAATGTAAACCACATTGCAAACTAATTAAGAATCGGGAATTTGTTCCACGCATATGTACCAAAGATCGTCGATATTGTACTAAAACAATAAAGTCAATTATTTGAAAGTGTGATGTTAAAAAGATTGCAATTTGCATTCGGCAATCAATTACTTTGTTGTACCACTGATAAAAATACAGTAGAGCTCTGTGTAAATTTAGATCAGTGTGTTAGCGTAACTGAGAATTTCTCATCAAAACCGACTGATGAAAAGAGAAAATATGTTTAACCATCAAAGCTATCGTACTGTTTTGCGCATAGCTGATCAATTTAAAAGCTGATAAAATGAATTTCAATTCGCCGAGCAATATATAATTTAAATGAAATCGGTGTAAAAATATATAAGAGCTATATTCAAATCTAATTCGAGTTCATACATTTCACTCCTGGATGTTTATGGATCCACTTCTGCGGCAAAGTGAAAAAATGAATTGATTATAGTGTTGTGTACATCATGATATATGTTAATTTGCTTCTCTTTTTTTTTTTTTTTGAAAATATAAATCCACTTAAGTGCTAGACTGTCATAGAAATCTTAGGGCATCTTATTCTGCGTACTTATTACTAGAACTACTTGCTTGTCCCTTGCTGAGTGCATTATCAGTTGGGCATTGCCTTTATTAGTGATGCATCCCAGCAGCGCACACAAGCATTATCACTTATACGCTCTTATATATGGAAATATATTTATGTTAGGTACTTAATGATATTTTTATGAGCATTATCCGGGCCGGCAAATTGACTGTTTAAACATTCGGCACATTGGGAACTGAATCGCTGCGATCCGTTAATTATTGACAATAGTAAAACTAATATAAATGCTAAGAGTGTTCTCCGGGCCACCACTGTTTTTAACATGTGTTGAAATTCTTCAGGTATTTGTCCTCCGCCGTTGTTGGGTTTTCTGATATTTGAACGACATAGACACCTGTTGCGTCGGGGACATACATGTCCACCTTGGTTGGTTGCGTGGATAGCAGATCCTATAACGTCGGTCACGTCCACGACGTGGGCCGCCGTCGCCACCACCTCATTGTGATTACCACAGTCGTGATCATATTGTTCCTAATTTATTAACGCCATCTTGCTGCTGTCCTTGATCACCACCTTGACGGCGTCGATTTCTACGCCATGGCATATTGCTGACGCTGTTTATCGGCCGCATATTGGCTACTACGTTCCGGTTCTCCGGAGGGGCCGGTTGCATTTGCAGCCTCATTGCCCTTTTCGCCGATAACAACATCGAATTCAACAATTTCGCCATCGCCAACGGAGCGTGCGGCTTTTTTGGTATTATTTATGATGATCGCACTCTGATGGTCAAACATATCTTCTTTAGTGTCGTAACGATTAATCAAACTATATCCGCTTTTGGTAGCAAAAATTTCCTTTACAGGCTGCGGCTGTTAATTGTTGTTGCTGCTTGGTGTAGTTCTCAAAAGAATACAGCCCATCTTCGTGTTCTGCCCCACGATCGCTGCATCATTCCGAACTCCTTTCAATATTTGTGGGAATATGTCATCCCCAATCACCAAATCATTTTTTTCTGACTTGTTGAAATTTAGATCGGTCAGATTTACATTTCTGATGCTAATTTCGGCAGAACTAGGGCTTCGACATTGATTTTAGTACTGCTGAAAAATCTTGGTCTTATTTCGAGCAATACTTTTGATTTTGCCAGTTCCATAATAGTCTCTCCGAGACCTTTCAGCTTCACCTCGGTCTTCCTCTTTGGTAGTCGTAGTAGCTGCGCTGTATCCTCTAAACCCGATGTTATTTGCTGCTGTGTTGGTTGTCATTGCCTTAGAGTTGCTTACTTTTTCAAAATGAACCAGCGTGAACACTCTCATTCTTGCTATCGAGTAATTTTCTTAAGCTGGATGCCGATTGACTATTTATATTCTACTCGTCTCCCAGGTTCCACTCGCTCTGCTACCTCTTGTTTTTTTGGGATCTTCATAAGATCTCTGCATATCTCATGCACGCTCATTATTCTGTCCCATATGTTGTCCTTGAAGTACATTTTAGTCTCGAGCGACTTCTAATGCCGCTTTCCGTACCATTCCGGATTTAAGTTTTTTAGAAATCTCAATCATTTCTTTAAGAACCTGATTATGTCTATCTGCCGACACTTTTTTGGTTATTTGTAAATTTTCCTTTTGGTGTCTTTTTTGATTTGTTATATTTTTATTTTGAGAATTATATATTTTTTAGTTTTAATATTTTCCCTATTTTGGGTTTTTTTAATTTTTTTAATACTATTACTTTGATGCCAATTATGTATTTTTTATTTTGACGGCCGCTGCTTCTTTTTTCTCGAAGGACCATTGTTGAGAAGTGCACTGAATAGACGTTAATTCGCTTCTGGTTTTATTGAAAGTATAAATCCAGTTAAGTGCTAGAATGTCATAGAAATCTTAGGGTATCTTATTCTGTGCACTTATCACTACAACTACTTCCTTGCCCCTTTCTGAGTGCATTATCAGTTGGGCATTGCCTTTATTATTGATGCACCCTAGCAGTGCGCACAAGCATTATCAGTTATACGCTCTTATCTATGGAAATACATTTATGGTAGGTACTTAAATATTTTATGATATACACTGTGTAAGTTATGTTCATATTTTTCTGAACAACATCAGACGGTTGTCCGCCCTGTAGAAATTTTAAACGAAATATCAAAAACTCATGGAGATATAGTTGTTTATGGTGTTATCATCAAACGACGCCATGAGAGCTTGTTTACATTAAGGGGTAATAACTCAAAAACATGTATATATTTATATCACTAATATTTGAGGTAGAGTTTCAAAGGTTGTTTGCCTTAAACTATTTTCAAATATTGGAAAAAATATGTAGAATATATTTCCCAAAATCGTCGTTATTTGTGGAGATCCCTACTATTCAAATATCAAAACCCAATCCATTAGTTCAGTACAATCAAACGTCACCCTCATGTATAATTGCAAGGTAGTAGTTGTATATATAACACAACTACTACATTGAAATTATACATGAGAGTGACATAATAATAAATATTCAGAATATAATTAATATTAGTATATTTTATAAAGTGTATTACTTTTGATTTGTTTTATTTTCTATTCTAGGTGTCTCTTAATTGTCAACCGTTTAAGCACTAAGATGCTCAAGATCAACGCAGAACCAGGATTCTTTACTGAAGTATTTACAGAGTTAAAATCGTGCGGTCAACTACTTGCTAGTTCTAATCGATCACTTACATGTGGAGCTGCTTGACGCATTTTTGGAGCAGAAATAACGGTCAACTTTACATTTTCTGCACAACATTATTGTCACCATAAAATAAAACATAATCAACTTTGTTGTAACTAATATTAATATTATTAGTTCTTAATACAATCCCCGATAAATTTAATAGAGCTATTTAATTCTCTATGTTCTAACATTAAATAATTTGTGAAAATAAATTTAACAATTTGGGATATTTCACTGGCGCATTTATAATGCATCCCTTCTTTACATATCTATATGAAAGCGAACGTCAGCCGATTGACGGATGAGATTTCTTTAAATGAGTAAAAGTACGTTTAGATTAACAAGATCCACTATATATCTTTTATTGCCAACATTATTCTTATTCTTATCAACTACATTCAAAATAATAAGTACTCATATTATGTATGAATTAAGTACTTTGGGTTTTGTGTGTGGTGTTGTTACACCTTCTTTATTCGAGTTGTCTTATCAAACTGAACATATTAAAATACTTAAAGCTATAAATGAACTAATAATTATTATTTACTACAGCTGACTCTGCGTGACTTATAGAGTATTATATTGCAATTCGTTGGATAAACAAATATGATGAAATAATCGTATGTTTGGTGTTGGCTAAACAATGATGATGAATATTATTGCTGACACTTTGCCTCTTGTAGAGTGTTTTATTGCAATATGTTGGATGAACAATTGTTATCGTTCACATCGTCTGACCAAAGTATTAGGTGGGACAATGTTTCTCTGTTTGTGAAGTCAATCATATGTCGAGTCTTCTCAGTAAAGACAATAAAATTTCTTCTAAGTAGTAAATTTGCCTCCCGGGAGACAATTTGGTTCCTAAAGCAATTGACCGGTTTGTCTGTAGACTCAATGGTGTATGCCAAAGATATGATTAGTGATTATCCTATTCCAAAGTATTCAAGTATTGAGGCTCAAAATGTTTCCCGGTGCACATAGATTCTACATTCAGAGTATGGATGTTCTGTCGTGAAAGGGCGTTCGCCACATAATTCTCCTTTCCAGGTTTATAAATAATTTCGGCATTATGTTCATCAACAAATGCTGCCCACGTTTTATCTTAGCATTCGGGTTTATATCAGAAACTGCAACCATATAAAAGGTTCCTCAATTTTTGAAGAGCCCAAACAATAGGCAAGAGCTCTCGCTCATTAGTAGCATAGTTTTGCTCTTTATCTTTAAGGGTTCTGGAAATCATGATGATTGGCCTCCCCCCTTGTGAGAGAACAACTGTCTGTTGTAAGATCAAAAGGTTTTTGAAGTCAGGATAAAGAAGCATAACTTCTTCAGAACAAGATTTCCTTTAATCTTCTAAATGTCTGCATTTGTTGTTCTTGAAAATTTATTTTCACTCATCTTGATTGGGAAACACTATTCTTGCCGTTTTCGCCCTTTAGAATACCTGTTAGCGGCTTGGCGATAGATACGAAATCTTTAATAAGACATTTGTAAAAACTTGTCAATCCTAGAAACGACGTTACGTTGAAAAGTGCAGAAGGTGTTCCATAATTAAGGCCGGGGGCTCGTTCTGATGTCATTTCTGGACACAACAAAACCGAGTTATTCGACACTTTCCCGAACGAAATGTGACTTTTCTCGAGAAATTCTCATATTGGCGCGTATAATCTGTCCAGTACCCTCACAATATATTTCACATGGTGTTCTTCGGTTTCATCGAAGGCCCTTTGGAAATTGCTGGGGGCATTTTAAAGGTCAAAAGGAAGACGACAAAATTCATATTTGCCATTTCCAACTGAGAATGCCGTTTTTTTCACGATCTTGTTTAGATAGAGCTTTTTGATGGAAACCTGATTTAAGGTAAAGCGTCATAAAAAATCTCGCTTTGCCAATATTTGAGAGAATAACGGGTATCTGGTGTTTGTCATCGACCGTTATACCGTTCAGTTTTCTGAAGGTATAACTAATCTTTTTTTTTTGGTATTACCGTATTCATCCTTGCCCTTTTTATCAACAACCCAAAAGGGATTATTGTAGGGTGATCTGGAAGGCCGTATTATGCCGTTATGTAGAAGTTCTTTAACTTCATTTTTAACAAAATCTACTACACCCGTGGGATTTATTATGAACGGGATCACTAGAATTAGCTCTAATAGTAGCTATTATAAATAAGTGATTCTTTGCAAAAACGCCCGAAAATTTTTTGATCATTTCCTTAAATTTTTCCGATTCGCGTAGATTCGTCAACCTCCATGGGTTCTATTTGGTTATTTTCGTTCCTGTTTGAACGATTTGAATTTCTTTTAGAAAAATATGGATTTTTACTTTGAACATTTCTGTGTGCGGAATGTGCTTCACTTTTATACTTATCTCTGTCCTCGCGAGATTTAGCAAAATTTGAGACGAATTGGTATCTTTCCCGATTTGACCCAACCTTTTGGGCCAATGCAAATGCTGATGGTAAGTCGGATGGACGAGTGGAAAATAATACGTTACTCAAATCTTTTTTGTGCCAGAAATGAAAACGCGTAACGCATCCATTCTGTATTTTTCGCTCATACAGTTTGCGACAGCACTCTCATATGATATGGTGGTTTCATTGGTAAGTAATGTCAGTTTCTTTTCTACTTCATCATAGAATTCTAGTAACGTCTATTACCCTGACGAAGAGTGGACAACTCTTGTTCAATTAAATAAGTTGGATGCTTATCCGAATAAGTAAAGTCCAATCGGACAATAATAGCCTTAAAATTTAGCACTGAGGATATGGATAATACCATATCGGCTTGACGCTTTATTTTATTTCGAATTATTACTACAACCTGGTAATGTTTAAAGCTTCCATCGTAAGGCTCGAACAACTTATAAGCTGTATGAGCAGCCTGGCGCCATGAAACGTACGATTCATGATTGTCTTCAAAATCTGGTATGGAATATCGAAAATTTGTTTTTCATATTGCTCTCTTTAAACTTTCAAAGCCGCCGATATGTCAGAGTTCAGAGGTCCTTATATTATTATTGTCAGATCTTTTGTGTACAGGAATTTGATTAAAGGAATCTATTATAAATTCCACTTCTTGGACAAGATCGCGATTATTCATTAATATCGGAAAAAAACGATTAGACTTTTTTTCAAATTTTCACGAATTTAAAAAAAAACAAGCGGAATTAATTTTAACTATTATCGAAACTAATTGTTGTTAAGAACCACTCACTTTTTATTAAGATATTTATCATTCATTTTAAAATATTTGTCATACACTTTTTTCCAAACACTAGATTTGTGTTATTTAATATTAATGTTAATAATAAATGTGCTACTTAATATTTACTATCGTACAATCGTATACGTATAGACTCCACTTTATTAGTGTTTTGGAAGTCCCCACCGCTGATGATGTTCCTCCTTTTTCTATATTTTTTTATTATTATAATTTTAACCCTGTTGGGCGCCAATTAAGTGTTTTGGGTTTTGTGTGTGGTGTTTTTACACCTTTTCATTCGAGTTCTCTTATCAAACTGAAGGTATTAATATACTTAAAGCTATAAACGAACTATAAATTATTTTGCTGCCTCGTATAGAGTGTTCTATTGCAATATGTTGGATGAACAATTGTTATCGTTCACATCGTCTTACCAAAGTATTAGGGTGGGACAATGGAGATTGTGTTAACTTATACATAATATGATTTCAATTCAAGAAATGTTTACATTGTAAAAACGAGATATGTTAAGATTTAGCTTTTAAAATATAAATTGTGCTTAAAATTTCATGTTTGTATAGATTTATAATTTTCTACGTGATTGGAAAAAGTCAAAAATTTTGGAAATCATACATTCGATTGTTGTAGCATAGATTGTATTTTATGTTTTCTATTTACAGTAGTGTTGGCATGTTATTTGGGATACCATTTGTATGTTGTTTTTGCAAACTAGTCAGGCTGAAACCCTGTTTGATTTTTTTATTAAAAAAAAAGAAACAAATATGACATTGTCCGCCGTTCCATTTCTTTTTTGTTGGGATATTCTCCCCAGAAGCTATTTTATTGCTTCTTTACAAAAAAACATTTCATATCCAAATGTTTAATTTCGCAGTCCGAATTTCACACCTTTCCAGGAGAGACAAAAACAAACTAACTTTCCTTTGAATAAAGATTTTTTAAATCTGTAAATGCATTTTTTTTTTGTATTGTATGTCCATTTTAATTTTAATGCATTTACGTAAAGCCAAAATAAAAAAATAAATATTTGCGAGAACCATATGCGTTTTTTGGGACTTAGAGCCTTTTCTGTTGCCTTTTCATATTTTCATGGACTTAGGTCTTTTTCTTACAACTTGTCTCTCATTACATTTCTTAATTTCTGTAATAAATGTGTACTTTTGTTAATTTTTTGCGTGCTAATACTATTTATTTTATGAAAAATATGAATAAAAATAAGTAAAACGTCGTTAAGTTCGACAGGGCCGACCTTTTTATACTCTTTGTACTTACCGACATCCTCAAATTGTCATACATTGGCGGTACAGTCAATTTTTCGATAATTTTTTGTCGATGATTGGACACCTAATGAGAACCCAAAACAACAAATTAGAACCAATTCGATTGAAAAACGTATCCAATATACCGAATAATGGGGGACAACTCCAAAACTTGGACCAATATTGATAATTTTTAGTAGGGAGATTTTGTACCCAATTAGAGTCCCAAATATAAAATTACAGCCAATTTGAAAAACGTGCCCAAACCAACCTACATTTCGAATATTGGGGATAACGTTATATGGGCGGTACCCTAAAAAGTAGACCAAAATTTATATTTTGTTTGTTGGAAGGTGTTCTACGCCATAAGTACCTAAAATATCAAACTACAAACAATTCGGCAGAAAATCATGACCAAAATCCTCAATATGAAAAGTGGATTTAGAGTCTTTACATGATGTTAAGTCAGTGACATGTGATGAATTGGACTTAGTGCATTTAATCATCAAAACAAATACAACAATAACAAATAAGATAACTATATTTTTATTCATTTTTAATGGACTTGTGTCCTTTTCAAATTAAGCCAGCTATTTGCTGATTTAAATTCTACAGCATTACAATTAACCACTAATTGTGG